AAATGAATAAAGGCTGATAGTTTCGAAAGAAACTGTTTGGGGCTGCGTCGGTGGGAGTAACGAAATAATTTGGATATATCAACAAAGTTGAAATGGTAAATTGGCCACCGTAATGATTACAAAAGCTGGCGTTTCGAGCGTTAGCCCTTCGTCGGTGGCCAATTTACCATTTCAACTTTGTTGATATATCCAAATTATTTCGTTACTCCCACCGACGCAGCCCCAAACAGTTTCTTTCGAAACTATCAGCCTTTATTTTCAGCTAAGTCTATTCGTTTACTTGTCAAGTCTTTTCTCGAAGCAAATAAATAACTTTTAGAAGGCTGGATAAGGTTACATAGAGAACTTGTTGCGAGCCGCCGCCATTTTGGTTCCGATAGCTTTAGTCACCAATCCTTACTCATTCGCTCCAACGAAGGGTTACTATCATGTTAGATACAATGACTATATGAAGTTCATATATTTTGAACTGCGGTATTAAATACGTATGGTGCACGATCCTTTGCAGTAGATAGCGCTATTTAGCAATACAAAAATCGGACACGTAGTGATGTTACACTTCGTTGCCTTTTACGCTCAATAGACGCTTAACAACAAGCCTAATATTTCCATTTCTTTACTTCTCTCTTAATTAAGCGGCAAGCAAGTCTTTATTTTGCCACTTTAATAAAATATATTGCGTTACAACTTCATTCATTCTCTGTGTATTTATGGTTAAATTCATGATGAATTCGTAAACGAAGATTGGTGAACCAAAAGGGCAATGGCTCGCACTGATAAGTTCTTTATCTAGCCTTATCTATAATATAATAGTTATTTATTTGCTTCGCGGAAAGACTTGACAATTAGACGTACAGACTTAACATGAAAATACTTTTGGACGAAAAGACTTGGACGAAAAGACTTTCTGACAAAAATTTCTATATAAGACTTGGACGAAAAGAGTTGGACGAAAAGACTCTTGGACGAAAATTGGACGAAAAGAAAATTGGACGAAAAGACTCTTAGGCCCTGTTTACATGGGAAGAGGGTGCCCCTAGGGGATAGGGTTACCCTACTTGGTAGGGTTGAAGATACCGAGCGTTTACATGGTAATTTGAAACCCTAGGGGCGAGGGCTGACACTATAGCCAGGTCACCCAGCAAGGAAAACAACCAAAATGACGGCGGGAGATAAAGTTTTGGCGGTTAATTCGATTCTTACGGCACTCGCTTCTTTAGTTCCTTCTTTTCAACTTTGTGCTTTGTTGTTGATATCTCTAATGGCTGAAAGACAGCGTTTACAACTGGCTAGCCAGCACATTTCAGCCCAATATAACATTGCTATGAATGACTGGACATAGCTCTACCCCTAGGGATAGCCCTAGGTTTTGCGTTTACATGGGCTAATGGCGGCAAAACTCGTCCCTACACAGTAGGGTCACCCTACCTTTCAGGTAGGGTAACCCTACCCCTAGGGTCATCCTACCTCACATGTAAACACGCAGTATAATTACAATAGAGAAGGGTCACCCTACTAGCTAGGGTAACCCTACTATGTAGGGGCACCCTCACTCATGTAAACAGGCCCTTAAACGAAAAGACCGGACACCCTTGAGAATTACTCAGAGCCTAAAGCACCGAACAGCAATGACTACTAGCATTGAAATATTCTCTTTCATTATGGGGTCGTGATAGAGTTTTACTAGTCCCTTCATGGTCATGGATAATTACCGACAGAATTATCGATACGATCTGCCCTGTCACTATTTAACAAAATCTATGAAATAAGTCAAGAAACTTGTTTCCTGTCGGGAAAACTTATTCATGAATGAAAAAACAGTCAACTGTTCGTCACGAATGACGTGTACTGTCCAAATACACAGCCGTAACGGTCGTGTTACGGTCGTGAGTACGGTCGTGTTACACCGTCTGGTCACGAGTGTTGGGGTCCAGCTGGGGTCCAGCAATTAGGAGGTTAACAATAGCAAAGTCTCAAGATCAGTTCCTCCCATTTCGTGCCCAACCACAACCCAACTATTCACCAATTTCTGGTTTAACCCAGGGTTTAACCGTTGATGCTGCCAATACTGCGACTTCATAGCTAATGTTGAGATGCTTATATACAAATTATATTTATTATTATGGATACTGATGAAATACCAGGATTTTTCCTTTTACTAAAAAAATCATATCTTCATTCGCGGCGTGTATTGAAGACTATTTTTATCTTTGGCGCGTGAGGATACTGATGTCGCCATGGATACTAACATGATTACTATTCTGCTGTTTCGAAAATAAATGAAAAAAGTTGTGTTTTATGTAAAAATTTCATCAGTATCTATAAAATAAACAGAACATTACATGGCTGCTTGGGGATACAAATTAATTTTTATCTTCTCATGCTGAAAGTATCTCTCACTCGTATGCTTCGCTCACTCGAGAGAGATATTTGCAGCAGTTGAAGATAAAATTTGTATTCCAGCGCGGCCATGTAATATCCTCTAATTCCTACATGTGCAGGGTTCGTACACTTTTTCAGGCCAAAGATTCAAGGACTTTTCAAGGACTTTTCAAGGACTTTCCAGGACCCTACTTAGAAATTTCAAGGACTTTTTGTAATGATAATTTTACCTCAAAACCAAGAAAAATGTTTCTGTTAATTAACATCGATGTTTTGGGTTTACCAATGGTGCAAAACAAAAGCAGATATTTTTCGATGTTGTTCAATAAAAAGTCAAGGACTTTCAAGGACCCAAAACGAAATTCAAGTACTTTCAAGGCCTTGAAATCGGCCTCCTGAAATTCAAGGGTTTTCAAGGCGCGTACGAACCTGTATGTGTCAATCATCAGGATACAGTTGCCTGGTACTACTGCCTTTTACCTATTATGAACTTGAGCTTCATCCTATTCCATTCTCTGGAAATCTATATCCCTTGAGGTTTAATGATGAAGGCCTGGCACACAGCAGTGAAGATGAGGGTCACCCAGTTAGCAAATATTCTAATAAGATCTGCTGTGTACAATTTTTCCATTTTTAATTACAAACTTGATGACATCATCATGGCCACCCAATTGATAAACTAGATGCTCCCACCTGAAACATTCAAACAAATTCACGATTTAAAGACAGATGGAGATCAGAGACTGAGTGAGAAAAATACACTACATGTATATGAATTTATCAAATTTTACAATTATTTGCCAAAGGCAAAGTGAATAATGGCTAACTATCTCAGAATAAAGTCATGTGAATCATTCAACAAATTACTTTCTCAGCCTAGGGAGAGAACTGGAGTAACTGCACGTTCTTAGTACCATTAATCAGGCAGTTATCAGTGCAACTTAATTTTCTTTCCATTGCCTTCCTCTGGAATTTGAAAAAAAATATTACCTGGTGTTCATTATGATGTGCATGGATGGGGTAACTATTATGACAATTGTATGATCAGATATGACCTTTACAGTGCTAGTCGCTGTTGCACTCACATCTCCATCACCATCTGAGCAATACAATATCATTCTAAATTTTAGTTTTTAAAATACTAGTTGAACCTTTTAATTGGAGCCAAATCAACATGTAACAACATCATTAATTGTTTTTGTTTACCTTGGGGCATTAATAATCAACATGTCAGCAAATTTTCCTGGTTCCAGTGATCCATGAGTGTGAGACCGACCCACAGATGCTGCTGCATTGATGGTGGATGCTGTCAGAGCTTCCTCCATTGTCATGTGCAGATTAACACAAGCAAGGTGCATTATTAATGGCTGGTCAGTGATAAAAAAAAAGCCTGTATGTCAACACGCCTCGGTGACCCAAATTAGTGTGTTTATTGGACTAATTTTACACCACAAGTCTTCACTACCATTGTACTTCACAGTACATGAAAACATTTTTGATTCGAATAATTAAATCTTTTTTTTTTCTTTTACACCGGCTGAACATTAAAAAGCTGTATGCAAGTCACTGCACTGGAAGGGGAAACTGCTTCAAAACATTTATCATTGGTATAATATATTATGATTTCAATAAAAACTGCTAGGTGATTCCTGCAAGATAAGTCGTTATTGGCATCCAATTAAAAGGCCCTCGCCCTTCCTTAATGCAAGTCCCAAATTAACGTTATTTACAATCATTATGCATGTCCACACACAATTCCCATGATCTCCCAAACAATTTAGGTATCAAGGTGATTCAAGATTTATTTCAAAATTGAAAAAATGTTCTGCCACGGAGAGCACTTTACCATAGAGAGGCAGAAGGCATTAGGGTTAAAATCAGAGCCAAGAGCTACTGGTACACCTGTTTTGAGAAACAACAAACAAAGTGTTCATTACAAGTAGTATAAGAGGATTCTCTGGGTATCATGCTGCTAATATCCTGTACTCCTGTGACTGCAATTCTTAATGAAAACCCTGAACAATAAACACTGTTCATGAATTTGTTATTAATTTTCACACAAATTTGATTACTTCACCCGAGTGTATGTTATTGAAAGTGCTGGTTTGTGAACACTGTAATTCTTAATCATTTAGTCTGATCATCTGTGTGTCATTTGTCATAGTGACTGTGTAGTGGTCGACAATGAACAACCTGCATTGAAGTCATCGTTGCAGTTAAGAGTCAATTAATTGAATCAACGTTATCTTGTTAGTAATCTTGTGATAATTTATGCTCAGGTAAACTTATAATTGTCAAAACACCAGACACTGCTACATATATCTTATTAACCCAGTGCGAGGGCCGTACTGGGAGAATATCGGCCCGAGGTCTTGACAGTACGGACCGAGCGCAGCGAGGTCCATACAAAAAAGACCGAGGGCTGATATTCTTCCAGTACGGTCCCGAGCAAGCTTGGTTAATAAGAGATTTATTACACGACTGAAGTTCAAAGGGACACAAGTGCAGTGTCATTCAAGACCATTCAGGACAGTGCCCTGTCCAATACTGAGAGAATAGTGACCGCCAATAGAGCAATTTGATTGGTTGATTTTAGTTATTGGCCCCTGACTTCCCGAGTCGTGTAAAAAAAAAAAAAAAATTAATGGCCCTTCTCCTGACTTCTCCTACTTAAGGATGATCAGAGTAATGATAATAATAATCACTTTATATTGCTGTTATTGCACATTTTAACATTAAAAATTATGATAAAATGCACACAACACTCGAATAAGACTAAAGACAAAAGTTATATTACATGATTACATGAAACAAAGCTTAATTTAATTTGTCACTGATTTCCTTCATAATAGGTAATCTAGCATAACTCGTCACAAGTAAGAAGTGAAAGAGAAGATAAAAGTATAAAATAAAAGCCTACAACAGCTTGAGACAGGCTGCTACAGGCTTCTTTAAAATAGTGTATTCTTCATGAGTCTCTTAAATACATCCAAATCATTTTCTTTCCTAAAATAGTCTTGTAGACGGTTCCATATCTTTGGAGCAGCTCTAGTGAATAATCTGTCTCCAAGAGTGCATTTGAACTTAGCAGTAGAGTCTTGCAAAAGACCAGTAATATTATGTACCTGATTCAATCATCTTCCTGGCTGGAGGACATTTTAGTCGTAAGATATATGCGGTGGTGGGAAGGAGCACAGCAATGACTGATGCTGCAGACATGGCTTGAATTCCTTCATCACTTACTTCTTCAAGATGGCTTATTGCTCTAGCCTTGAGTTCAGCCCCTAGCTGATAAGGAAAATGATAATTTTATAAAAAAGCACACATTAACTTATTTAACAGACAGGAGATCTGTGTGAATAAACAAACAAACAAACAAACAAACAAAAAAAAACCTGTGCACCAGGTCTTCACAACTCAAGACCAAGGACATAGTTTTTCTCTTTCAGGAGGACTGAAATAGATGGGAAAAGAACTAATTCATTTTCTTCCAGTGGTCTGCTTTTTTGGCACTGCTGTGAATGGCATGGAAAATTTTTCTGACCATGGTCCCCTTGTAAAAAGCTGGGCTATGACTGGGTATGTAATTAGCTGATGATTCTGGCCCACTGTGATGCTTCAGAAAAGTAAGGAAAATAAAGGTCTGCACACATGGGCTGGGAGGATAATTTACTAGGATCAAGAGATCAAAATATCATTCACTTCAGTTAGTCTATAAATTTTTTTAATTCTTCTGAATAAAAGTTAACAGAAGTAGGGTAGCTCCAAGTTGCATTCCATAAGTTAGTTTGTGTACCTCAGCAGCTTTCATTGGATGGAGTTCATCACCGTGAAAATTGATTGCCAGACCTGCAGCTTTTCCTGCCTCAAGTATTCTTTTGGTTTCATCTATACCAAACACACCTTTCTCGCAAAATACATCAATGTTGTCAACAAGTATTTCTTTGTTTTTCATCAGTTCTTGAAGCTTGGGTAACTGATGATTGATCACATTATCAGTTGCTTCTTCCAAAGTACTTCCTCTGAGAGAAAAAAAATCGGCAAAAATTTTTTTTAATCGAAAAGTAGATCCATTTTTCCCTCAGTGCCTGCTCAGTAACAGATCACACGCCAAAATATTGATGAAAAAAAAGGGCTCTTGAGACACGGGAGTGCACAAACCACTGACAAGGAAGGTGATAAAAAGGAATGTACAAGACAGAATAACTGATTCTGTATCTTTAATCTAGCAAACAGTAAATTTTCAATAAACTTTACCTACTTTGGTACAGAGTGTGCTCCACAGAATGTGCTGGATATTTCAATTGGTAACTCCTTTTTAGCTTTTTCTAAAACTCGAAGCATCTTCATCTCAGAGCCTACATCTAAACCATAGCCACTCTTGGCTTCAACCAAAGTTGTACCAGATCTTAACATTCTCAGAAGTCGTTCTCTTAATGATGCATATAATTCTTCTTCAGCAGCCCTGCGCACATGCTCCACAGTGAAGCCTATTCCTCCTCCAGTCTTATGTATGTCCATATATGTAGCTCCAGCCAGCTAGCAATGTATTGTTTAAAGAAAAAAATTGCAATTAACAAGTATGATGCAAGCATCAAAGGTTAAATAAGTTAAAAAAGAGAAATAAATATGGCACTCCTGATTTTGAAGATATATGGCACCTACTGAACTCTGAAGTAAAGATTAACCCTTCTCTTTAACCCTTTCACTGCCAGAAGTGTTTAACATGTAATTTCTCCCTTAATACCCAAACATAATCCAGCAAACAGGTAGTGAGAATACTCAAACTTAACAGGTAAAAGTTGCTACCTTGATTGAACACCAAATTCTCATTACAAATTTACAAGGAAATGTGTAAGAGCTAGAATAAAGGCTGATAGTTTCTAAAGAAAGTGTTAGGGGCTGCGTCGGTGGGGGTAACGAAATAATTTGGATATATCAACAAAGTTGAAATGGTAAATTGGCCCTCATAACCATTACAAAAGCTGACGTTTCGAGCGTTAGCCCTTCGTCGGAGCGAATAGAGGAACTGTGGGTTGTGTGTGCTTTTAAAGGCAAAAAATGGAGCTACGTTATTGGTGGGAACATGGCAACGAGTTTTGTAAGAGCTACAAGTTGGTGTGCAGGGGGAATACGTTCCCATTTTTCCCATTGGGTTTTTTGAGTCTTCGTATCAGGCGGCGGCACAGAAACGTTTTAGCCCGAGAGGTGATGACTAGTTGTTTACTTATTCTGTGTAACTTTGTCAGATGGCATTAAATACTTGGGCTCCTAAGTTCAAAGTACACACCCATTCTTGTGTATGAGTCCTGAATTAAAAAAGGAAAAAGCATTATAATCAGCAGACTCACCTTCATGGCAAATTCATGCACTCTGTCACCTACCCATACTGGATGAGTGTGACCATCAACAAGGCCTAAAATAAATGGCAACAAGTTGAAAAATAAATCATACTGTATGGCTGTGGATTTACGCTCACCACAATTAGCAAAAGCCCCTTTTAAACACACAAGTCAAATGTCAGCATAATTTATATGCCCAACATTATAATGGCTACATCCTTCAATGAGTAGCTCTAAAGCAAAAGACATATTTAATAAAATTACTTACTTTACTTTACTTTTGAAAAAGAAAGCTTTTTCTAAAGTTCAGGGTTATTAATTTAGTTATTGATATATTATAAATATAATTTTATTCTGAAATTTCATTAATAAGGCACTTCACATTTTTTTTTAATAAGAATTAGGGAGGGGCCGATAATGACACCAAATATTGGACACCAATGATACCGAAGTCAGATCAGAAATATTGACACTAGCAAAAAGTATTGGTGGTTTTGATAGTACTGCACATGACCTGCTCACACTTTGTCTCACATCAGCGACCAACTTCTGACAAGGAGTTGAAAAGACTTTGGGGTTGAGATTGGACAATGAGCACCACTGTACCAGTCTAAGTAGTGACGCTTGGGCGCAGCAAGAGTGAACTCATTGACGACCATGAGTTTCTACTTAAGTATGTCCTTAATCCAGTTTTAGACGTTTGACTGTCTCATTAACACTTCTATAGCATGTTCTATAGAGTACTGAACACTGCATAACTTTAAAAATGCAAGATAACTCTATATTTCGACAATCAAATCACTTGACTTACCATTCGACTCAATGACGTCACAATATTGGTATCGATATCAATATCGAAGAAAAACCAAAGTGTCATACTCAGTATTGTATCGATTCGAAAAAACCGTGTGGCACATCCTCACTTAGAACCTATTACATACTGCTTTTATATGGTATATAGTTTTGTTTATATTGTTGTTAATATCAGTATTTATTAGTTATTAATATTGGTTTCTTTTAGTTTTATTTCTGTGGCACCCAGATAAAAATATCCCAATCGATATCTGGGCAAGTGTACCATATAACCCCATACATTAATTATGCATTCAGAATCTAGTAAACTTTGTTTTTAAAGTTTTGTCGTGAAAGACAAAGATGTGGAATGCATAATTAATGTATGGGGTTGTATAGTACTCTTTTCGATATCTGTGCCATACTTTAGTTAAATTAGATACTATATATAGATATAGGTGGCCTTGTTCTTGTGGGATAACTATTGCTACGTTTCTTTCCCTTTAAAAATTTTGCACGGCAACTTAACGCATGCTCTATGTTGGACCGCTGTGTTGTTGGGGAGTTCTTCTCCCCATCAACACTTGAACCTTCGTTGATGACCGCATATTCCATCTGACGTAGCATTTCATTATTCAGCCCTGTTAACCAGCGCTCGCTGCTCGAAAGTAATAATAGCGGTACTCTTAAATGAGCTTAACCTACCAGGCAGGACACACATTCCAGACGCATCTATTTCCTCGATGAACTTATGGTCATGATAGGCTTGATCTACCTTCTCGTCAAAATCAATACATTCGATTTTTCCCGCGCTATCGACGACAACAGACACACCTCTGTCCTTTGTTCCTTCGACAATAGCCAGCTTTTTCATGGAGTTTCCCGTTAAAATTCGCTCGCCGTTATTACAAACTAAAACTACTTGCCTTGCATGTCGAATTCTGAGGTTATACATCGTAAATTTATCATAAATAAAATCTATAATTCTAAAGGTCTCTCCGTCCGAAGTCCACGTGAACTTTCTCTTCCATGATAGTCAGCTGTTGCCAGCATATCAGCATGCGCTCATTCGCTTAAAGTTTCTATGGCAACAGACAAACCTCGTTATCATTCTAAACATAACATGGCTGCATTGGAAACTTATCTTACAGCTCAACTTCGAAACTTTTAAGTTTATTTTTTTGGGATATCAAAGAAGCAAATCCAGACATCTAGTGACCTTGAACAAGGATTTTTCTTTATTTCTCTCAAATAAGAGGCTGTCGTCCTTTGAGAGGCTTGGAATCTACTCTAAAAGCTGGTCTGAACCGCATAACCCTTGTTTCTTGTGAACTCGGCAGGATTTTAGCAAAATACTCCGGGGTTTTTGCAGCTTGTTTGCTACATAGTGATCAAAATGTCTCGATCGCCTTCTCAGGGATCAAATAAGCCACCACGAACTGGTAAGTCATCAAAGATCTACGATCAGATCAATTGCACATTTACGTAAATTGTATCAGTTTATGTCATAGATCGATCAATTATTATATGACAGTAAATTTATTTAGCACTTGGCAGTCCTTAAATTTGTTGTATGGCTGTAAATGTAGCAAACTGCATTTTGACGAAAAATATTTCCAGACCAAATACCTGTTGGAGAGCATCTTGTAGTTGGTTGACAGGTCGCCAACTCCGGAAAATTCCTTCGAGTATCACGAAGCTTGCAAAAATGGAGCAATCTGGAACTGGATCGGTTTTACTTAAGTTTTCTCTTTGATTTGCAATGAAAAAGAACTCGTGCACCCCCACACCCTCCCTGCCCTCACATCTATTGACAAATAGACGAAAATCAATAACCGATCATCAATTGCCCCCGCACATCTATTAAGATCGACTAAAATCGATAACCAATCATTAATTGGTGACCCTGCTTTAGTTTTCCTTACTCTTCAAAGCAATTGAAAGTGATTTTGGTGGATTCCTCAACCTGACTTCTTATTATAAGTACTGCCTATAATCATTCACAAAGGCGTTTGTGGTTACTGAGATTTTACTTCGAGACTCTTAATCAATAAAGAGACCAAGTTAATGGCACCTTAATCAATTTCAATTTGTAATTTAGGGGGACAGTCAGCTTCTCGGCAATCTGAGAAAGGGGCAATGCAATCTGCTAAGTCAAGTTCTGGTAAACACTCAGCTTTATCAGGTAAGTGTTATGTCTAAAAATAATGTTTTTGAAAATTAAATAATGTTGATAACAAGCAAACAATTAAGAAACAAATACCTTTTTTAACTAGTCTTGTTCTTGAGGGAATGGATGGAAATTTGGTTTATCTGTGGCTTCCATCAGGAAAAGTTGCCTGATAGCCAGAAAATCTTCCTTCTTTGGAGAAGAATAAACAATTTTCCCAAATGGAAAGTTCTAAATTAATGCATCAGGCTTCTGGAACTGTAATACTTAATTATGTGTTTGTCATTGATCAACACACATGATTTAAGGTTGACAGAGTATATACTGGATATTTCTTTAAAATATAAGACATGTAAAATAATGTAGTTAATAATTACCTTCTCACTATCAAAAGTTACTATTTTCTCCTAACAAATTTAATGCAATGTAATACCGAGAAGTGATGCGAAGAAAAACATCAGTAGTATTTGATTTATCATAACACCACATTCTTGTAGCTTAAATATATTGTAAAGATCAATTTATGACAGATAAGAGAGAAGAGAACTTATTTTGAGGTGTTTGGGGTGAAATATTAAAAGTTACTGTTAATTAATAAGTTTATATTGATTAAGTCAATGAATGAAGAATAGCTAATTAAGATTAGTTTGTTTTCTTTCTTCAGTGATCGAATCTGTTGTAAATCCAAATCACAATCCATTCACCATTCCACATGATAATGATGTATTTATGCTACGAGACAAAGAAAGACAAAAAAAGAAACAGGTAATCTCAGCTACAGTCAAAACTTGTATCAGTTGTTATATTAAGTCCCGAATTTAATTTGTTTCCCCGTCATCACTTAAGAGGCTGTGTTCACCTTTGAATGAGTTCCAACAGCCTGTTTGTATGGTCTTCCCCTTGTAGTGAACTCAAAGTGGAACCACTCAATAATAACCTTTCAAGTAAAATTTAATGAAAGCTTTTTTTCTGAAATTGATGTTAATTATAGTCTTAATTTTTGAGCAAGTTCTTGTACACAAAGTGGTCAATTTAATGGCACCAAATGGCACCTTTATACAATTATTTTTTTATCACCCTTATTCTGTCGAACCTGTACTAAAATATTATAAGTGGTCAACCTCGGTATTAAGCACTCAGCCACCCATTCCTGATGTAGGTGACCCACTGGGCCACTGGTAAGTGAAAGTTGATTATCAACCAGGTTTTGATTAAAGGTAACTGCTTCGTAAAATTAAAAAACAAAGTTTTATTTTAATTTTTTTAATTTAATTCGTCTTTACATGCAGAGTTTGTCAAATTTGGGTTCCAATTTTTTCCATTGACAGGAAAGAATCCAGCAGCGAAGTTTAAAGGTGCATGAGAAGACAACATACACATCACGTGTCAATGCCAAAACAGCTACAATGAGAAAAATAGGTGATGATGACGATGGCGATGACTTTGTTGAGGAAGAGAAAAAGAAAGAAAAGGATGGTGTGATTGCAGTGAAAGACGACCCTCAATTTACTTTGGCAATTACAAGAGGTACATTTGTGGTATTTGATCTTGAACAAAAATGATGATATATTTATTCAGTTTTAACAATAATTTAAATTGACTGACTTAATTCTTTGGATATATCAACAAAGTTGAAATGGTAAATTGGCCACCGTAACGATTACAAAAGCTGACGTTTTGAGTGTTAGCCCTTCGTCGGAGCGAAGGGCTAACGCTCCGACGAAGGGCTAAAGCTCGAAATGTCAGCTTTTATAATCGTTACTGTGGCCAATTTACCATTTCAACTTTGTTGATATATCCAAATTATTTCATTACTCCCACCGATGCAGCCCCAAACAGTTTATGACTTAATTCTTTGGATATATCAACAAAGTTGAAATGGTAAATTGGCCACCGTAACGATTACAAAAGCTGACGTTTCGAGTGTTAGCCCTTCGTCGGAGCGAAGGGCTAACGCTCCGACGAAGGGCTAAAGCTCGAAATGTCAGCTTTTATAATCGTTACTGTGGCCAATTTACCATTTCAACTTTGTTGATATATCCAAATTATTTCATTACTCCCACCGATGCAGCCTCAAACAGCTTATGACTTAATTCTTTGTCAACCTTTTGTTAAAAGAGAGGTTGGTAAAGTTATGATTACTGTACATAAAACTGTGCATTGAACCACGTGGTTATTCATATGTTACAAAGGGGTTAACTGCTAGCGATGAGGATGGAATTGATGATGATGCTTTTATCTCACTTGCAGATCGGCATGTGGAGAAAGAAAATTTGGCAGACTTCATTTCAAAGAAAAGGGAAATGTTTTTAGTGCAGGTAAATTTGTTCCTATGGTCTGCAACAATTTTAGGGATGGTACATTAACTTGCCTTAGATTTTGTCCATATATTAAATAGTAATTAAGATTGGAATATTTGATCTTTGTCAGAAAATTTAAAGATAAAATTTTTATTCATCTACCTTCCTATTGAGATACTATACATTTAAACAGGCTTGAAAAGAGGTTAGTACATGGCATCAAATAACAAATAGATAAACTTTAAATTAATTTCTAATTTGCATAGTAGATACTGAATTGCAAGCCTGTAAGTGCATGCTCTAAAATATAAAAGAGAGAGAAACAAATACACGTACCGGTGTATTTCAAATAAACATTAAGTACCAAAAAATTTCAAGTGGCAGGAGGTACTGACCAGTTGGTTGTTCGTTTGTAATTAATAATAATTAATAATTAATAATTAATAATTAATAATTAGTTAATGACAATAGTAGTAAGTCTGGTCAAAGCACCAGTCAAGTAATTAGGGAAAATAGTAGTTATTCTGGTCAAAGCACCACTCAAGTAATTAATGTTAGCAACTTTCCCATTGTAGGTGACATCGAAGATGATATTACTGAATTTACTTCGCAGGACTCTACCCCTGTTCATTCGTATAGAATTAAATATATTAACCAGTAGTTTCACTAGCAACCTTTTTGGCTTCCCTTGGTGTTGATGTATGGGATCCCATTAAAATGGGTTCCCACTCCACTGATGAGCAAACTCGTGATCAGTGGGTAAAAAAGGAACAAAGCGTATGCAAGGGTGGGAATGAGTGTGTAAAATGAACATAAAAGTTAGGTGTTAAAATTGAGGGAGCGACTTCTGTAACAACAGCACGCTCCTAAACTCAATTTAAAACTGTAAAAAATATGTTAAAAAATAAATAAATAAATAAGTAAATAAAATCAAAATAAAATAAAATAAAATGAAGTTAAAATATTATCTAAGAGTAACTATTAGAAAGAGGGGGCGAAGTATTTAGGGTTAGGGTTAGTGTATCCAAGGAGTTGAACTCGCTGACCGTGAACAAATCCAGTGAGGACTTGAACCAGAGTGGAAGTCTATACTGCCCTTATCACCTGGTCATGCCAATCTAAATATGAGCTGACTCCCCTGCTAGGCTGTGAAATAGTTTCAGATACTATAAATCATTTCTTTGTCCTTTAGTATTCTTTAGGTGTGAAGCGTGATGAAATGAGGAAACTGGAAGAAATTGCCCGGGTTAGTGATCAGACCACATGCAAGCCATCTTGAAGAACTGTTTCAACACTAATCTACCACACTTGGTTTAAAAGTATCTCAAAAGTAGAGGGGAGTAGATATATTTAGGGGACTGGTTACTTCATGTACAGGGTATTTAGGTTATAAGGTTAAGGTTAATTAAGGGGCAGAAATTATCAGTTGATCTGTAATATTTACTTAGCATCATGATCTTTAATTTATATAAAACATTTATTTGCAAAATATAGTTTTCATTAACTGATCTTAATACACTCTATGTTAACAGGCAGAAGAAAAGAAGCTTGAACTTGCAGAGCAATACCTCGAAGAAGATGCTGCAATGTTTGATGAGTTTTTAAAAGAAAATGACAAAAACTCAGTTGAAGCTATCAAAATGTGAGCACCTTTTAAGATAAACACTGGTGTTGACATCTCAGTTTGTTTGTATGAGCATTTTGCAAGTCTTAAACTTCAAATCAAGAAATTTATTACACACTATTCTTGTTAATTGTTAATAGAATTCAATTCATCAAATTTGGTATTAAGTGTCGGTACTGCATTGAAGCATTATAAACATTTTCTAATTAAAAGTTTAAATTCATAAAATTCCAGAAATCTTATTTATTTGCTATTTATACATAGATTGTACTTTTGAAAGTCTTGCTTGTATGTAGATCACTAACTGCTATTTTTCTTAACAGAGCTGAGGCTGAAACAAAGCTCAAACTTGAAAAAGTGGCTGAGATAAAGAAAATCAATGCTCAAATGATGGCAATTAAGAGGTGAGCCATCAGTGATATTTGAAATCATTCATTGAATAATTATATAATTATTAAGTCTTGTATTGATTTCTAAAATGCTATTAATTTAACTGTAAGTGTCAAAAAAAAAAAAAAGAGTTTTTGTAGTTAAGCTACAGTATGTTAACTTGAAAGTTTATTATTTTGATTTTCAGTGAAATATCTAAAAATGAGGACACTATAAAAGAATATATGTTGTACAAACAGTTCTTGGACTCCCTTACTCCACAGGTACTTGTTTTGTGATTAGAATATTTTTAATAGTACTGCATGTTGTTAATTTGTATCAACTATTATAAACAAATGGTAAACACCACAGCATACGCTATTGAGTTTTGGATGCACGCGGGAGGTTGCTTAGCATGAAAGAAGTGTAAGAGCTACTCTAGCTTCTTGAGTGCTCAGTAAACCTCCCAAGTGCATCCATAACTCAATAGTGTACACTGTGGTGTTTACCATTTGTTTTATAACATAACATTGATACATTGTAGCTAAAGAGTTCCCTTTAATTTAACAAATCTTATGTGACCAGAAAAAAAAAAACAAGCGCGCACGGAAAAAATTAATAGTCTTTGCATTTGGTCACATCCTCAGTGTACACCCATGGGCAAATGGGGGATGCTAAATTGACCAATCAGAGTGTGCGCTTTACTTTGGTTATGTTATAAAATCAATTATTCATTTGTTCATTCCTTTGGTGAAGTCCTGTGATGCCATTAATTCTGGCTCATTACATTTGCATAGGAGTGGAAAGATGATAAAAGAAAAGCCAAAGAGGAGAAAAAGGTAAAATTAAGGTGGAAATTTATATAAAGGTATTTCTCCTTTTTTTTTTGTTTTTTTTTTTTGTTTTAAGTTAATTTCTTAGCATTTAGTGGTCAACTGTTTTTGTCTTTACCACAGAAGGCAAAGCAGAGGGACAGAAGTTCGGTGACAAAAAAGAGAAGTAAGTATCAGGAACATCATGTGCAAATTAAGCTGGTAGATATGACCTCCCAGATGTGTTTGTATGTTTTGTACAGTACATTATCAGAACTACTAGTGCTAATTACTGCTTGAGTCTTAAGCTTTTGGAAAGAGGAAAAAATTAATACACTAAAAATATTTGCATACATGCATCTATGGTAGCTTCAGGCTAAAGAAAGAAACCTGCATGTTACATGTTATAATGTCTAACCTTATTGTAATGTGCTTTTTCAGTTAAAAAAAAAAAAAAAGGTTATGTAGAGTCTCAAAGCTCAATAAACAACTCTCAAAGCTTTGATCTCAATCCTGGAAATTTAAAACTGTAGCCTCTTAATTTGATCCCAAGATGATTGTGCCTTTTGGGATTAAAGGATTTGTTTTGGAGTTGATCGAGTCTTTCAATTACATTTCAGTTCCACAAATTTGCATTTTGATGTATTTTCCACTTTCGCTTGTTTCATAGTTTTCTTGCCAAAAGAAATGAACTGATAAGTAGTTTTTTAGAAAAGCTTAAGATAAAAATTAGTGATAATAATTTTGAACGACGTTTCGACCTCACTGAGGTCATTTTCAAGCTGATGAAAAGGAAAATTTTTTTTGCATATATAACTAAATTCAAGACGTGGGAAAGATAAAGGCGATAAATTATGGAAATATGTAAACGCTTGGCGTAAAATAGAAGTGATAAAATTGCAAAGGAGACAATACGAATAAATTAATATGAGAGTTGACGAAAGAAAAACTATAAATTATACGAAGATACCGTAAATTATTATAAAAATAGCTTTGCGCGGATTGAGTCTGACTGTTTGTTCAAGCTTGGCTTGAACATTGTGCATTAATAGCAATATATACAATGTGCATTAATAGTAATAAATTATATGTCATGTAAAAGCAAATGATTTATCTCTCATTACAAACCTTTTGTTTAGTCTCTATAATCAGCTCTGACAGAAACTCCAGCCGAGGCAGCCGTAAAGACAGTAGGACAAGCTCGGTAAGTACATGCTACCGATTTGAACCTTTTAGCGTGCCTGATCATCTTATTTAGCTTAATTAGCCTTGCTGACTCTGTTACTGGAGACAAGCTCAAAAGTGGGTGCAACCTTAGCTGCCGGTCTTGCCTGTGTGATTGCCATTTTCAGTTTTCAGTTCGTGTTCACTGACTGAGGGCCTTGTAATTGGGCGCAGTTATTCGTAAAGCTGATTAACACTCACCCAGCGTTAAATTTTAATCTGGGTTCTTTTATCCCTTTGTTTAAAAGCCTTTCGCTAATTTTCTCTATTCTTTGAATGGAATCATATCATCAAATTGTTGACAAATATAATTGTACTGAATTTTTCTTTGAAGCTTTCAGAATTAAATCGGATTTCACGCCAACTCTGGGTTACCTCAACCTAGCTTTTAACAACCCAGCCCAGGCTAATTAACAATTATTCCACTCGCGCGCGTTGGATATGAGATGATAGATAGCCAGCGCCGAGTTGGCTATAATCATTCCATATCCAATAAGCGCGAGTGGAATAATTGTTTTATAAAAAAAAAAAAAAAAACGCTCCCAAGATATTAGACAAATCTTCCCGACTTTATTTTGTAAGACGAAACCAAATGCTACAATGTACAGATATTAGATTATGCTATATTGGCTCTTATACCATAATCGCTAAGCCAATAAAAAGTCTTGAATTGCATTATTCAATGATCCAGTTTTTAATAATATAATTATATTATGAAGTTGGAGTAGTTTGTTTCCGTTTAAACTCGGTACCTTGCCTTCTAGGTATCTACACATACATTTGGTTTTTGAATTGATCAATTGCTAAGTTAGTGAGTTCAAGGATTTATCGTAGTCTGTCCACAGATTTGAGTCTATAATATCATTGGTGATTCCTTTTTCCCCAAGTTACATAGTTTAATCGGTAAAAGTGTGTCTTTTTTACTTTTTTTTTTTTCTTTTTGGTGCAGTTGAACATTTTCAATGACAGTATTCCATACACTTTTGATTGCAGAAATTAGCAGGAAGTCCTCAAGGGAAGATGTAAGTGTTCAAACAGTGTGTACGTTTTTGTATTATTATTTGTGACTTATTTGTGATTTTAGTGACAACCCCAGCATCCACTTGAGCATTTCGCAGACATCATCACGACGATAACCTATTGAGTTTTAAAAGATTGTGAGAAAAGGATATTAAGTTTCTTGGCTCCTTGACTGCTGAAGCTCAGATCAGCATCTGTTGAATGCAAAATCATAAAACATGCCTGCTAAACAGGTGTTATTTGTGTGTGTGTGTGTGTGTGTGTGTGTGTGTGTGTGTGTGTGTGTGTGTGTGTGTGTTCGTGTGTGTGTGTGTGTTCGTGTGTTCGGGCGAGTGTACAAGAGTCTTTTTGCTAACTTACCACTAGCTTGGAGGGTCACCTAATGTCGCATGTGGAAAATGAAATCACAACGGGTGTGTGTTTTTGTAATCTGTAATCTGTAGGCAAAGGACTGAAGCAGAAGACAGTTCAGCTTCTGTTTACGAAACTGATGAAGAGGAGAGCGATACTGTAAGTGAATTGAACACTGTGTCTTTTATTGAAACTCGTGTCCAAGTCTCTCTCTTCTTTTCATTCCTTGGAGCGATTCTTTTCACACCCCAGGGGTCAGGAAGAAGAGCGTAAACAGTTGGCTGCCACTTTTTACTTTCTCTTTTAACTTCTAGTTAACGCGAATGTGTTTTGCCAGCGTTGATAGTCTACGATATAGAAACTACCTTCGCTCAATTATAGCACAGAAGTTTGGGTATTTATGACAAAGAGAAGAAAAAGAGTAAGTATTCAAGAGAAAGAGTCTCAGTAATGAGTAATGAACGCTCGAAATACAATTTCTTGATGATCAAATTATCTTCTGAAAACACTTCTCTAACCAATGAAGACACTTTCTGGAAGAATGTTTTAGTAGTAAACCTTTATTTCCCAGTAATTTTATTGGTTACGATAATTTTATTTGATAATTCCTTTTTCCCCTGACAGGAGCCAGACTTGTATTTTGGCGATCCTCACCAGCTCCTCGATATCTTCGCCGAACTAGAAGAACAGAATTTATCTCTTATTCAAAACAGTCAAGAAACCGAAGAAGCCTTGGAGGAACTTCGACAGACAATTAAACAGACACAAGACCGAATGTGAGTCCCTTCAGTTAGATCTGAAGTAGCTTACGATCAGGCCTTCATCATAAGCGCTGCAGCAGCGTTACTCTCTCCGCGGGAGGTTTGAGACGAGTTGTTAAGAAGTCTGCTGGGGTGTCTCAACTGGACCATTTGCAGACTCTCCGCCGGCTCGCGTTACCCAAAGCTTCAAACTTTCTCGCCGGCGAAGAAGCACTCGTACTGAAGCTTTAAGAAAGAGGGCCTGTATGAAGACTAGACTTGATATTGCTTTATAGGGGCAGATTTAGGAATTTTTTAGGTCGTGATTTAGCTGATTTTTTTTTCTCTTTACAGGAACCGCGAAACTGAGATTCTCAAAGGCCAGATAGATTTTTTGAATGATGCTATAAAAAAAGAAGAAGAGAGAGGAAAAGAACTGGAAATGAAGTCAAAGTAAGATAGTTCTTCATCTTCGTAATACCACGCTATTCCTGTTTTGCGCAGAGTCATCAGAAATCTAAAGTTATTTGCATATGTCTAAAGAGAGCGTTAACCCTGCAACTCCCAGAAGCGATTAACATGTAACTTCTCCCTATATTATCCATACAGGATCCAGCAAACAGGTAATGAGAATACTCTAACTTATCAGGGAGAAATTGTTGTCCAAAATTCTCTTAACTAATTTGCAAGGCTAGAGGGGAGAATTAGCACCGAGATCTCTGGAGTTTTAAAGATTCAGTGTCTCGATATCCTGGTGCTCCGTCATCTCCCACTCAAATTTCGTCTTGTTCAGAACATTGTTTTTCCAACGGTGAAATAAACGTTTTTTTTTTTTTTATTTATTCATTTGTTTGTTTGTTTGTTTGTTTTTTTTAATTATTCCCATGCAGAATGTTTTCCTTTGGTGAATTTAAAGCTGAAGACCAGGTAACGCACTCTCCATGTGCTACACACTATACTCCGTCGAGAACTTTGAACTAACTTAATGTAGGATTTCGTGACAGCGTGACCAAACAATTGAGGGATTTTTGTTTTTTTTTGTTTTTATATGAGGCTGAATCGTGCATTGTCTGGTTATGTTTCTCCTAACATTCGTAAAATTTATTTTTAAATTATTAATTGTGCTTCCTTATTTCTTTGCGTCCTTTTCAGGAAAAAATGCTTCAAATGTTGAACAAGAAAGTCGAAGAGGTTTATCGAAATTGCATAGGAGATAACGAAGCCAATATCAGGTATAGTATGTGTGGTTGTCTGTAAATACTGTTTGAAGCTTTTATGTGTTACATTATTTCTTTAGATACCTCAACGATTGCCAGTCCTGGGACAAAGAATGAAACAAAATTAAGAAGAAAACTTTTGCTCTTCTCGCCTTTTGAAACGTACAAGTTAATAGGAATCGCTAGGAATGCGGTGATTCATTCTTCTGTTAAAGCTGCTAGAACAACGCGATAAAGTTCTGCTTTAAAAAAACTTGATATGTACTGTGCTTCATTTGTAACCTATTCCAGACCTTCAGTTGGTTAAACGACGCGCAATGGTAAATACTGTGTGTGATGGTAGTGTCAGAGCGAAAAAGGCGAAGGAGGGAGGGGGCTGGGTCGGCTGCATAAATGAATCGAACCCAAACCTCCCTATTTTTTTTTTTTTTACCCTTCCGCTTCTATGCACCGTTTACTTTTTCGCTCCGTTTAACCCTTGAACTCCCAGAAGTGATTAACATGTAACCTCTCCCTATAATAGTCCTACATTATCCAGCAAACAGGTAATGATAATACTTAAACTTATCAGGTAGGAGTTGACATCTTGATGTGACACCAAATTCTCCTTAACAATTGACAAGGAAATGTGTAGCAGCTAGAGAGAGAATTAACAATCAGATTTTGGAAGTTAAAGGATTAATAATTGAACGCCTGGAACAGCCTACTTCCGTTGTGTTTCACGGCGCTTGACCGTAAACTTTACCTGTTGTTATCGTTCTGGTTATTTATTTATCTATATATTTTGCTGTCGTTCTTCTTTTCAAACGGGCTTTGAGTGTTGTTGTTGCCTTTTTTTTTTTTTTCCTATTTTTTTTTTTCTTCTTGATCCCCTGACTTCTGCTTGATTCCATCAGTACTCTTCAGATGCTAACAAATATTGAAAATCGCCTGGAAGAGCTGTTCGAACAAATAGAAGTCATGCCTCCAGACCGAGTAGAAATGGCAGAAAAGGTAAGGAAGGCTTGTTTAGAACCAAGAGTGCACGCAGCAGAAGATACAATCTGCTTGTTTCATCCGTGTTGATAATGTAAATTGGGCCCCACCCTGGAGAGGTTATGAAACTTAAACGTTTTGAGCGTTAGAGCTCGGGCGAAGGATGTCAGCTTTAGAAACTCTTATCAGTAGCCAATTTAAATTATTAACAGTAAATTTTCTGTAACACCCCCCTACCGACGCAGCACCACAGTTTCTTTCGAGACCTAACCCCTCTCTTCATTTGAACGGAATAGAAACGTGACTAACAGGAACATTTCAAATCAGTATTACGTAATAAAATAATACTTGACATTTGCAAAGGCATTAGGAGCATGTCTTGCTTTGTCATCATTAAATGCCATTTTCGAATTACAAAAACTCTCACTTTTTCTGGGAAGCTAGCTAGTTTATTTGCATAAGATCTGTAGAATTACAGTTACCTTCAATTTAACGGCTTCACAATTACCCATAGTTATAAAACAGAAATATGAGGGATCTGGGGCAAACTGGAATAAATCCTGATAGTGGATAGGTGGGACGGAAGCGGATGTAAACACTATCTAACTTACCCTTAAGGTTACGAATGTTACAAGATATTCTAAAAATGTTCCTGTACGCCATGTGGAACTTTCCCTGACTAGCGCATGTTTTTCTTTTTGTCGCAGACAAAAGAAAAAGAACGACGCTTGCGCCTACGTGAAGAGAAAATGGAACAACAAAGACAGCATCAAGAGGACCGAGTGAGGAGAGCCCTGGAACGAGCTCAAGCTGAACCGAAGAAAAAGGTGTGTAAGACAGGCTATGTCCCGCGATGCTTGAATCAACAGGGCTATAAATCTTGCGTTGAAGTTTGGTGTCGGCCTAGCTTAAAAGTTTAGACTCAACGACAGGAGAGTGTGGTCTTTTGCCATAAATTTTTTTGATAAAAGAAGACTATCAATGGTAAAACCAAAGTAAACACAACGGCCAATTGTAGCATAATATCACAAGGAACAAATGAACTCACAGTAAACTCAGATAATGGCCTGAAGCGCGGGAAAACACGTTTGCCCGTGTCGAAGTTGGTGTAAACTTGTGCTTCTGATTGGTCGAAAGCGTGGCGCGGGTTTTCTGGTCCAATCTTAAAACTTAGCGAAGAAAAAACGCTATTCCAGAGTTTTCATCTCTCTAAAAATTGATCTATTTTTCTTGTTCTCATTTCAGACTGGTAAACCACTGATGTTCCGATCCGAACCACCACAGACGCGAAGAAAACAGCAGGATGCCGACAAGAAACAAGACAAAGAGGAAGAGGAACTTAAATATTTTTTTACATAAACGCTCTTCTGCTGTAGATTCCTTGAAATTATGATTCTTACAAAAACTGGGACGCGAAAAAAACAAAATCGCACGAGTTCGAGATAAATTGTAACCCAAACTCTTGTAAATTGTATACACATGCATGTGAAATGTTTAATAAACTCAAAGCAAAACTTTGCTCCTATTGCACTGTCACAAGAAGTTCTTGGGCTAAATCGTGTAACGTCTCCTTGTATAGGGCTTTCCCATTAACTTGTGCTTCGAGAAGAAAACATTGACTTGGCGATCGTAAAACGTGATAAAGCGCAAAACAGATTCCCTAATCGTCATGTAGATAAACGTCTGCAACCGGAAACTTGTCTCCGAAACACTTTCCTGAAAGTAATTCCCCGGAGTGTTCTTAAACGTTCCTTGGCGCGTCGCCTAAGGGGAAATCCCTTGCTTGAAGGGGACAAATGCCCCAGGTCTTATATGGCTGTCACGTGACAACTGTAGATTGCCATCTTGCGTCCATCCGCTGGACTGTTACGCCGTTTGTACGACAACCGTTGACTGAGGCGAACGCGGTTCTAATTTAAGGGAATGGTGATAAGCCATGGATCGTGGGAAAGGTATACAAAAGAAGACGACTTGCAAATTGATCTGTTCAAACCAAACCCCTTTCTTCTCTTTTGAAATTTAATTATGAAGGCCATAGAAATAAATTTGATTATTACCTAAATGCGCAAAGTAGAGTACAAACATCCTGTGATATTTTACAGTAGGTTACTGTGTACAGTAAAAAAAAAAACCTATTTAACCGGTCGGCTGTGCGTGCTTTGCTTTTCTATCGCTTAGCTTTTCTCACCTTATGAGAGATGAGCAGAAACACTGGGAACATAAAAAGCAGTTAGATAATAAATAACTAATTAGAAATTATGGTGTGAAATATTGCTTCATATTTCTAATCACTGTTTTCATTTTGAGTCACCGTGAGGACTTGTCGAAATACAACACAACTCGTAAAAATACTTTGTGATACTACACGCCAAAAGGTCTAGTATTAAGATAAATATAACACATATGAAAGTACACAGTAATTTTGGAGATAACAAGCATTATTTCTCAAAGTTTTTTATTTTAAAAAAAATCAGAGATTTGTAAGTATGTTAACGACAGTAACCTAAAGTTAGAAAATGCCAGTTTACAATTTGAGCTGACAACATCTTTCATATCTGAGAGGCTTATCTGGGGATAAAATTAAAAGGGAATTATTACAACTTATTATATGGCTGTGTCCCACAAGGACTGGGAACAACCAAATTCATGAATTTGATTGGCTCAAATCAATATTGAAAGCAGTCTAGATTTTCCCATCTAGACTGGCATCTAGACTGGTCTAGGAAAAAAAAGGTACAAAGAGTATAAAAAATTGGCATATAAGACATCGCCCACCTAGATTAGCTCGCTTTTTGCAGGCATTGTTTATTGTAAGTAAATGTTTTGGAAGCCCTAATAAACTTGTAAACTTGTAAGACACAGCCATATAATAAACATCTTAATAACCAAGCTAGGTCAGTCTGTATGGGAGAATCTTGACCTCGGTCACTGGTACAGACCTCACTGCGTTCGGTCTGTACTGGTGACCCTGGTCAAGATTCTCCCATACAGACCTCCCGCTCAGTTAATAAGAACTAAGTACGTAATTATAAATATAATACGAAGAGAAACAACTGCAAATAATATTTAGAAGCTACTCTCTCATCTCTCCATCCTCCTCCTCTTCATCTACGCCACGAACGTAAAGAACATTGTTACACCTAAACAAACAAAAATAAACAAAAACATCCTGTCAATGTTTTTACCCTCAGCAAATTCTACTAATTCCTGAGTTGTTAATGATAATTTATTTAATATTTGGGATTAATATAATTTCAGAGCTGAGCAAAGAGTTTCCAGCAATCTGATTGGTCGAGCAGTTCCTTATATGACCCTATATAAACTGCTCCACGCAGTTTATATAAAATGTTAAAATGTTACTAAAATGTTATGATTTTAGAAATTTCTCTGTTGTTCAGCTCTGAAATTATACTAAACCTAATAATTATACCGAGCCTCAGGTTCTGTGAATATTGTCAAATAATCCCCTTGACTTCATCTCGGGGATTATTCAACGATATTCACCTTGGCTTCGGTGAATAATTGTTAATTGGCATCTGGCAACTCTGTAAGGAAAACTCTTAAAATATACTTACATATAAAACTGGATGAAGACACAGAAAAAAAAGAGGAGAGTAAAGCAGAAAATCAGTGTGCATCCTTAAAAGGAAGATTTCAATGACACACCGAAACCAGTC